GCACCTCGGCCACGCCGATCCCCGCAGAAGGTCGCGCGCGCGCGCCGCAAGGAAACGCAAACATGACCTCAGTTTTTGCAAATCGACCACGCCGACCCCCGCGTAGGGTCGTGGGCGCACGGAAAGATGCACCTCGACCACGCCAAACTCTCGCAGGGTCGCGCGCGTCACGCAAGAATCGCACACCCCCCCCCCCAGTTGTTGCGCCCGATCCCCGCAGAGGGTCACGCTGGCAAGTTGGAAAGCGAAAAGCAACCAGTTTTTTCACCTCAGCCACGCCGATTTTCACAGAAGGTTGCGCGCGTCACTCAAGAATCGCAAAGACCCCTCAGTCTTCTTTTGCACATCGACCAACACATCCGCCAATACTTACAGCAGATTGCAATGATGCCTATTGAAGGAAGAATGGATTATGCCATGGCCACCTCTTGCCTTAAGTGTTACGCAAGATGCCCTTTCCAGCAGAACTGTTTTTACAAACCAGAAGCCATTTCAACTAACATTATCCCAGCCATTTTTGGGATCTCTGGATTCTTTCCTTGGTAGTTGCACTTAATACGACTATCAAGTTCTACGTAACTATGAAGGCAATTGTTCGTCACCATCTCTATATGAAGACTGGTTCTGGATGTGACCAAACACTTCCGGATTGCATGATGACATTTATATTTGGATGGGGAAAGACCGACATCCAAAATCTTTTCCGAAGATCCGAGATTGAGTCCATGACCGATGAGGAGAAGAAGACTATGCAGGACAAGACCTCGCTAATCATTTCTGATTACCAGGCAACATCAGCCGCGTTTCAAGCACATCACCAACGAGATGTTCCTGAATGGCCCATGTGACGCCGATTCACACAGCCCGCTCATGGTCTACATCCGAAGCCGATCTGAAAGCAAGGAACAGGACATTCAGTTCCTGGCGTAACAAGGCTTACGGCCACGACCAACCTGGATGGAAAGGCTATAGTTCTGCGACTTGGTATGACTACGACTAGCACAGCCAATCTGAAACCAGCAGCCATCCGTGGAAGCGATGAGATGCTTTCAGAAGCTCCAAAGAGAGCGAGCGAGAACAGCGCCACGAATGCCGACCAATTGATCCTCACCATCGACAAGACTTGTGGGAGAGATCAAGAGTTTCACACCGATCCTGCATGCGCATAGCATTGTGCATCATCTTTTGACACAATTAGGTATCCGCAACGAGTGCAGAGTTTTCTTTTCCATTTGCCAACCAGGACATCTCATCCGCGCCAAAAAAAGATGAATGAACTCCGAATGTAGACTCTGACAAGATACTTTAGAGCCTCCGGCTCAGTCCGCCAACATTGTCCTCTCCCTTTTCTCATTCTTTCCTTTGTCTCCCTTGTGTGTTCTGTCGTCCTCTCTCCCCATCCCCCCAAGCCTCTCTCTCCCCAATCTCGCTCTCTCGTATGTATGTATATATGTAATGTATATATGTAATGTATGTATGTGTGTATGTATGTATGTATGTGCGTATGTATGTATGTTTGTGTGTGTATGTAATGTAATGTAATGTAATGTAATGTAATGTATGTATGTATGTGTGTAATGCATGTATGTATGCATGTATGTCTGTATGTATGTATAAATATGTATGTATGTATGTATGTAATGTATGTATGTATGTATGTAACGTATGTATGTATGTATGTATGTAGGTAATGTATGTATGTAGGTATGTATGTATGTAATGTATGTATGTATGCATGCAAGCATGCATGTGTGCATGTATGTACGTATGTATGTAATGCATGTATGTATGTAATGTATGTATGTATGCATGTATGTATGTATGTAATGCAATGTAATTAATGTATGTATGTATGCAATGTATGTATGTATGTAAGTTATGTATGTATGTATGTATGTATGCATGTATGTATGTATGTATGTATGTAATGTATGAATGTATGTTTGTACGTAATGTAATGTAATGTAATGTAATGTAATGTAATGTAATGTAATGTAATGTGTGTATGTATGTGTGTATGTAATGTATGTATGTATGTATGTATGTATGCATGCATTTCTGTATATACGTATGCGTGTGTGTATGTATGTAATGTATGTGTATATGTATGTATGTATGTGTGTAATGTATGTTTGTATGTATGTATGTATGTATTTAATGTATGTATGTATGTGTGTAATGTATGTATGTATGTAATGTAATGTAATGCATTGTAATGTAATGTATGTATGTATGTAAGTAATGTATGTATGTATGTATGTAATGCATGCATGTATGCATGTATGTATGTATGAATGTATGTATGTAATGTAATGTAATGTAATGTAATGTAATGTAATGTGTGTGAGTATGTGTGTATGTAATGTATGTATGTATGTATGTGCGCTTTTTTGTATGTATGTATGCGTGTGTGTGTATGTATGTAATGTATGTATATATGTATATGTATGTATGTATGTAATGTATGTATGTATGTAATGTATGTATGTATGTATGTATGTATGTATGTGTGTAATGTATGTATGTATGTACGTAATGTAATGTAATGTAATGTATGTGTGCATGCGTATGTATGTAATGTATGTATGTATGTAATGTAATGAATGTATGTATGTATGTAATGTAACGTAATTAATGTATGTATGTATGTAATGTATGTATGTATGAATGTATGTATGTATGTAATGTAATTTAATGTAATGTATGTATGTATGTATATATATATGTGTGTATGTATGTATGTATGTATGTATGTATGTATGTATGTATGTAATGTATGTATGTATGTAGGTAATGTATGTATGTAATGTAATGTAATGTAATGTAATGTATGTATGTATGTATGTATGTAATGTATGTATGTATGTATGTATGCATACATACATACTTACATACATTACGTTACATGCATGCATACATACGTACATACATACATACATAAATACATATATACATACAAACATACATTACATATATTACATCAACACATACATACATGCATACATACATACATACACACACGCATACATACATACATACATACATTACATACATACATACACACATTACATTACATTACATTACATTACATTACATTACATTACATTACACACATACATACATACATACCCACATACATACACACATATATATATATTTACATACATACATACATTACATTACATACATACATACAAATATACATTTATTACATACATACACACACGCATACATACAGACAAAATGCATACATACATACATACATACATGCATGACACACACACACATACACACATTACATTACATTACAATACAATACATGACATTTCCTTACATTACACACATACATACATAAATTACATACATACATACATACATTCATTACATTACATACATACATACATACATTACATACATACATACATTACATTATATTACATTACGTACATACATACATACATACATTACATACATACATACATTACATACATACATACATACTTTTTTCATGCGTTACATACATACACACACGCATACATACATACAAAAAATGCATACATACATAATACATACATTACATACATGCATACATACATATATGCATGCATGCTTACATACATACATTACATTACATGCATACATACGTACATACATACATGAACACATACATACATACATACATAAATTACATACATACATACAATCATTACATACATACATACATACATACATTACATTACATTACATTACATTACGTACATACATATATGTTACACACATACATTACACACATACATACATACATACACACATTACATACATACATACATACTTTACATACATACATACAAAAATGCATACATACATAATACATGCATTACATTACATTCCATTACATACATGCATACATACATGCATACATACAAACATACTTACATGCATTACATTACATGCATGCATACATACGTACATACATACATGAACACATATATGTATGCATGTATGTATGTATGTATCCTTGCGCTTCCCCTTTGCTCCCCAGTATTTCCCGCAAAGAAACGCAGTTTTTCCAGCATTTTCGCAAAGAGGATGTCCAAAAACACAGAGTTTTGCCAGATTTTCGGCAAAAGGATGCAGGAAGCCCAAGCCAGCAAAAAAGCCGGCAGGGGGAATCGAGCCTGGGACCCCTGTTTTGCGACAGCGGCTCCCCGAAGACTACGTTTAGTGGAACGTCATCAAATTGCCGCGCGGTACGTGGGGGACCCCCAGCCAAAAAAAACACCTACGAATTTTTTTGGGGGGGGGGCAAGGGGGGTTGGGTTACCCTCTATCCTCTAGTAAGTATCCGACACGCCGAACAATGTCGGCGGACATTTCTTATTTGTCACTGACACATGGCTACTGCGCACACTTGAATGGCTACGGTCAAACACCAAGAAGCCAATAGTAATTCAGTGCTGGAGATCAAAAGAAATTTGTCTTTTTTGTGTTTGTTTTTCGGATGCATTCATCTCCATGCAACACCATTTTGGCTCAAGGCCTCTCATGTCACACATCAGATGTACGTAGCTCACTGGGCCACTGCATCCGTGATACAAAGGTGCTACAGCGGACCACTTTCAGGTAAACAACAGCACACAGTCAACGGGCTAATCCATCACCTTCCTAGACTCCAGCGTTCTGCGGCGCGCAAGAGAAATTGCGCCCCCGCAGCCCTTGGTAGGGTACAGACATTTTTTACGTGTCCGCCGAATCCTTCTGCAATTGCAGCCTCAAGCATCAGCCTCCTCATTTGCATCATCCCCTCCGCAGTCATCGTGAAGCCAGCAGCAAAATCAGCACCATCATCATGCCCATCACCGTCCAAAACATCATCGTCATCATCAACACCGTGACCATCAGCGTCACGGTCATCATCACTTGACGCGCCTCCCCTTGTTTTGACTTGTTTTTTCCATCCACTGTTGCGCAGACCAGTTGATGCTTCCTTTTCTCCAGAGGACGCCGGGCGCGTTTCGACCAGAGCCACTTGAAACTCGACCACACGTCCAAGCGGCGGCCCAAGGATCTTGAGTTGATGTTTGCTGCAATTCCCATTGAGAAATGAATGCAGAACAAATTGGCCAAAGGCAACTTGGATTGATGTCTTTGACAGCTGCAGGCAAGTGCAACGTATTGCATGACTTGTGGGTCTCAGGGCGCAGCTTGGCATTTGGTGCAAATTCAGCTTGCTCACCACGGGAGTGCCTTCGGGGCACACACATCAAAAAGAAATGAATCTAGGATCAACAAACAATTAGTTTGGGATCGAAAACAACTTATTCCAGACCATGTGAAGGAGAGGGCAGTTCGCAAGTTGGTGCCCGGCGCACCCTGGAGCAAAGGGCAGTTTGTAAAGCAGGTTAGTAAGTTAGTAGGCTAGCAAGCTAGACAGTTAGCAAGTAGCAAGTTAGCAAGTTACTAAGTTAGCAAGTTAGTAGGTGCGGCAGGTAGAACAACTTAGTAAGTCAGCAAGTTAGCCAGTTAGCGAGTTAGTGTGTTAGCAAGTTAGTAGTTGCGCCAGTCAACAAGGTAGACTAGGGGGAGAGTAAGTTAGTGTGGAGGAAAGGTCAGTTAGCGCGGTAACAGTGCTATTGCTACTACTACTGCTTCTGCTACAGCTACTACTACTACTGCTGGTACTCGTACAAGTGCAACACAACTAGTACTACCACTACTACTACTAGCAGTTAAAGTAGGGCTCGTAGCACGAGTAGCGCTAGTCGAGTACTAGTTCTAGTGCTACTACTTCCACGACTACTACTACTTCTATTGCTACTATCGCTATTAAAACTTCTACTACATCTTCTTCTATTACTACTACGACTGCAACTACTTCTACGCCACTACACCTGCTACTACTACACGACGCTACCGCTACTACACTGCCACACTACTACTGCAACCAGTTCAAGTAGCTTTAGTAGTACTGGTAGCGCCACCCGAGTAGTAGTACTCGCGCTACTACTTTCACAACCACTACTGCTACTTCTCTGCTTCCAGCATCTTCTGCTACTACTACTAGTACTACTCCCGCTACCTCTACTACCCGCTTATTTTTGATCCTGAATTAATTTGTTATTGATCCTTCAGCCGACCTTCGGGCCAAGAGAGGAGAAGGTTTCCACATCAGTCCAATCGACAAGCTTTTCCGTCATTCCTTGCTGTTCCTTGACTGGTCTTTGCGTCCACTTGGTTTAGTTTCCCAAAGTAGATACCCGCAGTTCCCTTCAAAGCCAGCCACGCAGAGGGTGGCGAGGCCAGCAAGTCGGAGGAGGGCGCTCAAGGCACGCCACACGCCGAAGCGCCACACGCCTGCCGAAAGCCATGAAAGTGTTCTGCCACTAACATGTGTTCCATTGCAGAGCTGATGAGTGTGCTGCTGCAATTCAGCAGCAGTTTGGTCAGTAGAAAGATGTGCTGCAGAAATCCTTGGCTCAAGCCAGCAAGCAGGGGCCTTGCAGGCGATGATGTGAAGCCGTTGCTACATCCATTCCTCGCCGTAAAGCCAGCTTTCGGCACCTTCACAATGGGAACCTCGCAGAGCGACAACGGAGGCCTTGCGGTGAGCAGCCGCTGCCGCCAAGACACATCAGTGCATGTGCAACTGAGTGGGCATCAAGAATCAAATGTCACCCCTTCATGCATCAAGCAACTTGTGGATTCAGGACAGTTTGTGTCCGGCTTTCCAAATGAGCGGGATGAGGGTCAGACAAGTGCTCGAAACCCATCAGCGGCGCGCGCATAAGCTTTCCACCAAGCCACCGCTCTACCCAGCAAGGGTGGGACACACAGGCCCATACTTAGTCAGGAGTGGTCATGAGCCCAAGAATCACCTTGAGTGTAGTTGTTTGTGGCCCTGTTTAGAATGTTCTCAGTTTGGGGGAAGAGGCAAGAACGTGAACGAGTGACAAGAAACGAGCAGGCAGGCAGACAGCAGAAAACACACAAAACTACATTTCAACGCATGTCGCGTACTCGTTTGGGCAAACCTTGATGACTCCCATGGCTTGCGTTGGCTTCGCTGCTCTGCTGCGGGCGCGTTTGTTACTTTCAGTGTCGGGGCGGACATGATTGCATGTTTGCTCCAGCTCAAACATGATGAAGGACGTCGCATATCTTCTAATCATGTCAGAGCATTTGCGTCCCATTTCTCGGGCAACTTGTTGTGTTGTTCCGTCAGGGAACTTCAAGGAGGTCAAGGTGGTCATGGCAGGGATGCCGGGCGCCGGAGCCAAGTCCGTGGTTACCCGCCTGGTCAGCCACGTGTGGTTGGAGAGACTTCCGCCCGGCCCTTTAGGCGCACGCGCTCACATGTGCAGTTGCCAATGAACCTACCTTGGCCGTGGCCATGATTAGACCCTGCAATTGGTGGTGGCCCTCGCTCGCTTTGTGGTAATAAAGACACAGACACAGACACAGCGCAGACACAGACACAGACACAGACACAGACACAGACAGACAGACAGACAGACAGACAACGACTGCAAACGGGTTGCAAGAACGCACGTGCGAGCTCTCGGCTGTGTCTGTCTGTCTCTGTCTGTCTGTCTGTCTGTCTGTCTGTCTGTCTGTCTGTCTGCTATCTGTCTGTTCTGTCTGTCTGTCTGTCTGTCTGCTATCTGTCTGTTTGTCTGTCTGTCTGTGTGTCTGTCTATCTGCTGTGTCTGTGTCTGTGTCTGTCTGTGTGCCAACGGGAAAAACAGTCTGTCACGGGCTTGTCTCGGCGCTGCCCCGGCTTTCTAAAAGGAAGGCAGGGCACGCGCAAACAGCAAAACGTGCAAACCTACGAGCGCACGCACACACACGGATCCACACACTCACACAACCATCATGTCAAAAGATCCGTCCCAATAAGGCACACTTGTTGCCTTGAGAGACCCTTCAACACATACCCACTTGCGCAAGCGCTTACTTGTTGAAAGGACTTTCCGAATACTTGTTGAAAGGACTTTCCGAATACTACAAACACACGCGCTGTTTTACTTCCAAAAAACCTTCAGCACATACCCACACTCAGGCCTGCGCTCGCATGTTGACAGAACCCTCCCAAGAATGGAGAGCTCGTCACTGTGAGCATGCTCTTTTTAGCTGGTTGGTTTGTTGGTTGGTTGGGTGGGTCGGTGGTGCGGGTGGTTGTGTGTGTGGGCTGTGTGGGCTGGTGGCTAGGTTGTTTGCTTGGTTTGTTGTTTGGAGTTGGCTGGCTTGTCAGTCTTCTAGCTACTTAGTCCTCCTGTTTTTGTGTCACTTTTGTTGTTGATGGTCCTGGTGGGTAGTGTTGTTGTTGTTGTTGTTGTTGTTGTTGTTGTTGTTGTTGTTGTTGTTGTTGTGGTTGTTGTTGTTGTTGTCGTTGTTGTCGTTGTCGTCGTTGTCGTTGGTTGTTGGTTGTTGGTTGTTGGTTGTTGGTTGTTGGTTGTTGCTGCGCCCTTGCGCGGCTCTTGCTGGGCCTGTTTGCGCGCGCAGCGCAAATCCACAGCCCCCCCCGATATGTCAGGCGCAACGCCTCCCAAGCCCAACTTGCCGCGCAACGATGAGGGCCAAGGTCTGGCACTTCTTACAGGGCGCTAGCCAACGAGCTTTCAGCCCTCAGACAGCTGAGCTCTGAATCGCGCAGTTAAAACAGGGCAGGGTTTCCCCTCACCGCGCGCTGTCCCCAAACCCTTTTGTGTAAATTACATCAATTGCGCCTATCTCGTGCTAGCGCTGAGAGCGCGAGTTTGGTCAGGGCCTCCCCTCAAAGTTCCGGACCGGTCCGGAAGTGTGAGGGGCTGTCCCTGGACCCTTTTCGGCGGCCCGGCGCTTGCTCATTGTTTCAGACACGCTGGAAAGGGTCCAGGAACAGCCCCTCATCCGGACCGGTCCGGAACTGTGAGGGGAATCCCAGCCCAAACCCGGGTTCTCAGCGCCAGCATGAGATAGGCGCAATTACAGGAAAGGGTCGGAAAACAGCCCTCACACCTCAGACCAGTCCGGAACGCTCTCAGGGCGGCGCAAGCAACGCGAACAATGGCGTGCTTCAGATTGAGCTATAGGCTGTCTGAGGGCCGTAAAATCGTTGCCTAGCGTCACTCCCTTCCGCGCCGCGCAAGAAGCGCAAATGCTTCGGAGCTCTGCTGCGCAGCGCTTCAAGAAGCTTTGCGCGCCTGTTCACCCGCCCTGACGCTGAGCAGCGCCCGCCGCGCCCGCGCTCGGCGCTTGCTGGGCCTCCTGGATGGACCAGGCCTTGGCCCTCTTCGTCGCCACGCGGCAAGTCGGAGCCCAATCCCCGCAAAGTAGCGGCAGCTGCGCTTTTAGCCGGGTCCGTTGCGATGTCTTTTTGACGCGCGTTCACGCACCCTTTTCAACATTGAATTTCTCCCCGCACAAGGTCGCAGGCGCTAACTTTGCAAGCTCCTGGGCGCAACCCTGTGACACGCACGCCGTTTCTGGGGCGCGGAGACTTGTTGTTGCGCCGACCAGCGGGCGGAAATAATCTTTGGCTACTCCTTTTCATTTTGCCGGGCACGTGGGCCCAAAATGGGCGAATATCTTCCTAGCAGCACCAACTCGCCGCTTCCAATCTTTTGACTCAAACTTAGCGTTCAGTCAGAAGTTCAATAAAACCCGAACTAAGTCCAAACATGTTGGACTCTCCAGACTTCTGAACCCATCACTACAAGGGTGGTTCGAGCACACTCGCTTAACAAAAATCTCCGAGCAGTTGCCGTCGCATTTGTGCACATTTTTTGCTTTGCGAACTGCTCGCTGACTCCAACACTTTAGCTGAGCTGCGCAGACGCGCCAGCTGGGCAAGCCCGTTATGGAGACCAAAGTGGGTTCGGAAGGACTTTCAGGCGCACCGCCGATTGCTGCAACATTCTAAGCCACAAAGCGCCGTCGTTCTGTATATATATTTTTAAATCAAGCATTTTCTACTGCCGAAAGGCGCGGCTCAGCCGCACAGTAACATGAACTGTACAAACTCCAACAAAACTCAAAACAGTCGAAATATACGCATATATAAACGTCATCATTGACGCGCGAAAAGCATTTTTTGCTTTCAAAAATCATGCTTTTCGCAGCTTTTTCAAGCTAACACACTTTTGGCAGAATTGCCCAAGCTTCGGAAAACTAAATTAACTAACACAACTTAAATAAGTAAAATGATAAGTCAAGTTAACTGCTGCTAACTGGTATAGTAGACTATAACTGCATAACCGTTAGCGAACCCATGTTGTGGCGTTCGTTCAAGCGGTGTTGTTTTTGTGGTCGTTGTTGTTGTCGTCGTCGTTGCTGTTGCCGTTGTTGTCGTTGTTGTCGTTGTCGTCGCTGTCGTTGCTGTCGTCGTCGTTCTTGTAGCAGTTGCTGCTGGTGCTGTTGTTGTTGTTGTTGTTGTCGTCGTCGTCGTCGTCGTTGTTGGTGTTGTTGTTGTTGTGGTTGTTGTTGTTGTTGTTGTTGTTGTTGTTGTTGTTGTTGTTGTTGTTGTTGGTTGTTGGTGTTGGTTGTTGTTGTTGTTGTTGTTGTTGTTGTTGTTGTTGTTTTTTGTTGTTTGTTGTTGTTGTTGTTGTTGTTGTTGTTGTTGTTGTTGTTGTTGTTGTTGTTGTTGTTGTTGTTGTTGTTGTTGTTGTTGTTGTTGTTGTTGTTGTTGTGTTTCTGTTCTTGTTTCTGTCATGTTGTTTCTGTTATTGTTACGATTGCTGTTTTAGTGGTTGTCACGGTTGTTGTTGTTGTGGTTGTTGTGGTTGTTGTTGTGGTTGTTGTGGTTGTTGTTGGTGTTGTTGGTGTCGTTGGTGTTGTTGGTGTTGTTGGTGTTGTTGGTGTTGTTGGTGTTGTTGTTGTTGCTGTTGCTGTTGCTGTTGCGGTTGTTGTTGTTGTTGCTGCTGTTGTTGCTGCTGTTGATGTTGTTGCTGCTGGTGTTGTTGTTGGTGATGGTGTTGGTGTTGGTGTTGGTGTTGGTGTGGTCGTCGTCGTCGTCGTCGTCGTCGTTGTAGTTGTTGCTGTTGCTGTCGCTGTCGCTGTCGCTGTTGCTGTTGTTGGTCGTTGTTGTTGCTGCTGTTGTTGTCTCATAGAAGTTTATACTCCCCTCCCCCAGTGGCAGGGAAGATTAGGTCCTATGTGGCGTGCGCGCGCGCGGAATGATTGTTTCCCGGAAAGTGCTACGTGCGCGGGGGAGGGTGATTCCCTCACTCATGATACACACGCATGCGCACACACACACACGCGCACGCACGCACGCACGCACGCCGCACGAACCCACGCACCCACGCACCCACGCACGCACGCACGCACGCACGCACGCACGCGCGCA